ATAATTCAAACTTATGTAATATGATATTATTATCAGTGCAACAACTGTGTGCTATTATAGTAAAAAGGTGGAATACAAAATAACAAAACAAAGAAATCCTTACTTGTAAGTTATGAGAGGGTATAAGGATGTGTCATGTGCTCTTTTCTCTTTTTTTTTTTTTTTTTGATCCTTGATAGTCTTCTTGTTAAAGTTAATAATCTAGTGCATCCATCAAGATTCAGTGTGTGGAGATGACCTTATACAGCAGTGTCCTAACGCTGTTAGTCACGATCTCGCTACTGGACTTCTCTTAACATATTACTTGTCTTATAAAATGGCACAAATTAAACATAGTTCCTAAATTACAACCCGTTATTTAAAACCCCTGTCATCTACTTATTAATGTGTCTAATGTAACACCACCTCATCATGATTACTAATTACGTTTATGAAAAGGTCTGAATTGCTGTGGCGAGTACTGTATGAATTATGAAAATGCTGTGAAGTTTGCATTTAATTAAAAAGAGGAGAAAGCGGAGTGTTTTGGTGTATTATAATGAAACGCTTGATATTGTAAGCATATTGATGTATATTTTTTCTTTTATTGATTCATTTCAATTACATCTAAAGTTAGGCTTGATTTTAGTTAATTCATTTTTTTTCAATGCATCTTGAAGATTTATTATAAGTATGTAAACTTATGCATAGTGAATTTTTTCGGTTATCAGACTTGTCTATTCAGTTACAAGTGTGCCACATTGCTTGTTACCAGTCAGTTTCAAGTGTACCACATTGCTTGTTACTAGTCAGTTACAAGTGTGCCACATTGCTTGTTACTAGTGTTCAGTTACAAGTGTACCACATTGCTTGTTACTAGTCAGTTTCAAGTGTACCACATTGCTTGTTACTAGTCAGTTTCAAGTGTACCACATTGCTTGTTACTAGTCAGTTACAAGTGTACCACATTGCTTGTTACTAGTGTTCAGTTACAAGTGTACCACATTGCTTGTTACTAGTCTGTTTCAAGTGTACCACATTGCTTGTTACTAGTCAGTTTCAAGTGTACCACATTGCTTGTTACTAGTCAGTTACGAGTGTACCGCATTGCTTGTTACTAGTCAGTTACAAGTGTACCACATTGCTTGTTACTAGTCAGTTACAAGTGTACCGCATTGCTTGTTACTAGTCAGTTACAAGTGCACCACATTGCTTGTTACTAGTGTTCAGTTACAAGTGTACCACGTTACTTGTTACTAGTGTCTTTACAGTATCTTTTTCATCATTGTAAATGAGTGGAGAGTGTTTTTTTCTTCCTGTGTATTGTACAATCCTATGTTGTGATATTCCTTGCTTTTTGTTTTCTTTTTGATAACAATGCTTCATTAGAAATATTTCTTCAAAAAGATGAAATATATAAAGGTCATATGATGGCTTGTTTCTCTTGGAATGAATTATCATATTCACCATCAGTAACATTATTAAAATTACATTTTCAATGGTCAGGAGTACGCGTAGTATTATGACAAGTTGGATATCATCAAAGATAGACAAGGTTGTCAAGATTAATTATGTTATGGTGATATCATCTACACAAACGTTGTTTTCGTCTTCACAATAAGATAATTTTGTAACTTATTCATACATTTTCAATATGATTGGCCCATTGACTGTGCTTCTGATATATATATTGGTGAGAAAAAAAACAACATAAAGAAACAAAAGCATCCTTTTCATTGTCAGTAGCTTTTAAGTCATAAAGAACTTAAGAAATTGGACAATCCCACTAGAATTGTTGTTACAATCCTCATAAAACGTGAATCTAAATCAGGAGTGTTTGATAACTCACACCATCTTTTGTATAGAAAGTGTGACATCCTCTTCCACATCAAAGTAATCATTAGTGAGCCAATCCTGAAGAACATCCAAGTCATTATCAGTAAGCACATTCCTGTTGAGAACAGAATTTAAAAGTAACATGTCAACAATTATAATTCAAACTCAAATGCAACAAAAGTAGGGCAAAATATGAAAAAAATAGATTACAAAGAGACTCCTGGAAAAGTACACGCAGAATGAGACCATGTGTTTTGATGGAGTGAGCATCTTCTGCTTCGTTGATGACACCTTCCATGTAAACCGTGGTCATTCCAAGTAAGTAATGTCATGTTCTCAAAGAAGAACAAGGAATACAACAACGTAGCCAACAGGCAAACTAACGAGCATAGCAAACACGCCCAACATCATATCGCAAAAAAGAAATAGAACATTTCTCAATGACATCACTATGACGACCATAACATTTCCCAATAATTTTCATCAAAAGATGCACAAATAAACTACGCTCTTCAATAGTGTTTGTGATTAGATAAGCCAACGTATTTAACTAAATTAGTTTGATTAATTAGTTTTAATTAAACCTCCTTTAAAGTTCCTTTAAAGTTTAAGTTACTTTTAGCTGTTGTCTTCGTGTGTTGACGTCATGACATATTTATCATAAGAAATTCTATTTTTGTTTTCTGTTGAAATAAAGTATGCAAATGTATCATTCCTGTCTACACTAGAGTTCGTGCTATGTAGACATAGGGCGTCTTAACAGATTGAATGTTAGAAGAAATATCATTCTTAATATTTATCAAACGTATATATCGCATATATCTATGCTGTTTTAACTTTGATTAATGTTAAATTGTCAAACATACTTTTGATTTATTGCTTTCACGCTTTAAAGTTTAGTTCGATGAATAGAAAATACTGTTACATATGTATTAACATTGGATAAGATATTCATTTCCTTGGCGTCAACACAACTCTGTGTAAATTTTATGACAATTATATAAATCTTACAAAACATTGACATTTATTTTGATTAATTTAACTTTAATAGCCGACCTCCCTGGTATCATTACTCTTAAAAACTTTAAAACCTTAATTTTTTTTTCTCCACAAAAAAGATTTATTTTCCCGCCGATCTGATAAATTATTTGCTAAGTGTAAATAACATACATATACAATTAGGTCTGGTCGAAAGGCAAACTCTGTGTTTTAGTGCTTTCAACATACTGTGTATGGTTCTTCATTTATGGCCAATGTGTTATTATCCCGCCGTCCTCATTAAGAAAAAGGGTATGTACAGTAAAGATAGCTAACTCCGCGTCTATCTATTATAGCATCTATATCTTTGTTGTATAAAACAATGTTATGAAAATATTCCTGTAAATACAATCTACACAAAAACCAGTAACTGACACTTAATGAGGAATAAAGAACAAACCATACATTAGCATAACAGGTGTGTAGGATCAGAAGAAACAACAAAATTGTCACCTGAACTTAAATCATATTGGTGACTGTTTTTGTATATTATATCGCAAGGGTAAACTCCCTAAGGAACAAAGCAGTGGTATCATTTAATTAATGATTAAACAAAGTGAACTTTTAGTGAAAGGCTCCTTTTATTGCTTTGACAGTAAGGTGTTAACGAATATTTTTGCCTTCGATGAACAGAATAAAACTTTCAAATCTGATTACATTAATACAGCTATATAAATATGAAGATTGACCAATTTACATGCCAAAAGATGTGAATCTGACCAATCAGTAATATTGATAAAACTTCGGCTATGTAGTCTATCAATATGAATGACATGTAAAACAACTCTTTTCACCCCTGACGTTGTCTGTGTTCAATATGTTGTACTCGATGAACTTGTCAGTTTGCTGACAATATACCGGCTTTCACTAGGACGGCGTGAAATTAATTAAATTTAGGATTGATGTATGTGGCGGGCGCTGATTGAGGTTTATATCAACCTATATTCCGTCACTTTCCATTAATTTTATATCGTGACTATGTATGCGTTCTCGTTCGATTTCTCATAGTAATTGTTATGTAAAAGTGATTTCACTGTTCAACAGATCAGTTCGTATCTTTCATTGAGCAGGAATAACTCCCACTTGAAATTCTCTTTATGGTGACCGTGTCTGTAATGTGAACTATTAATGGTGAGTATTAATATCACCCAGTTAATTAATTCTTCAGTGTATGAAAACTATTTATATTATGCACGTATGATACATTCATGTATATGAAAAAATGAATAGTATCAGAAGTGTTGCATAACGTAAATTGATTTCGGTTTTTTTTTGTTCTCTGTTACACGGTAAAGAAGATCGTGATGTGGTCCATCCTACATCTGTATGTATTAATTCACAAACAACAAGGTGCTCTTTGTGAGCGTAGCTATCTACCTTTTGTCAACCGTTACTGTCACGCTCTGCAACTTTTCTCGTTAATATGAGAGAGAAGTAAGCTATTTAGTTGTTTGACACGGTGACCTTACCTTGTCAAATACCGTTTAAATGAATTTTTAATGAATAATTCATTTTTATTAGCATGGTAACAATAAAAGTTGATTTAATATCGTATCACTTATAAAACACGCTTAGGTAACTTAGAGCATCGAACAATACACTTCGACGAGTGTTTAAGCGAGTTTGTGAACAATTTCATAACAATTAACAGATACACGTTAACGTGGTGGTCGTAACAGTCTTTTGCTTGATATATACTTATTTCTAATGTTCCATCAAAGCTAGGTCTCCTCCCCACCTACATTTGGACAGTTTTTTCGAACACCTTTGATTTTCATCACTTGCCTGCTATATAAAACGATTGGGCTCTTAGCTCTATTATGCAGTTTAATTTATTCATTGGTTCTGTTCTATCTTATTCTAAATTTGTACTAAAATGTGTCTTTTGTTCATATTTTACCCTAGTTTTATTGAATTCGGGTTTAGATTATAATTGTGTTCTTATGTTCACATAAAAGGCTTGTTTTTTTCTTCTACAATGTCACTTTGACTAACGTTCGTTTCATCCACCTCATGCGTGTCTCTATGCAATCACGCAATTTGCCATAACATCACTGTTGTCATCTTCCTTCTCTGGTTTTGTCGCTGATAATAAGAACGTTTATCATATATCAAATATACTTAAATTTTGATTTCATTTCCCACAGGTCTACAACAGTCGGGTAATGTCTCTCCAACACCTATATCAGATATTTTCGGAACGAGCACTAGCAACACAGAACCAGGGAATTCGGGAAGACTTGTGAATGGTCCTGTTGTTGAAGGGTCCGCTGCTCCCGACATGGGTCTTGGCGGTGCAATGTTTCGACTAGGATCATCAGAGAGGAATCTTAATCCAGATCTTCACTCGAGTCTCGGTAGCGTTGGTGACTTCAGGTTGAATAGCATGCCCGTCACAGGAAACATCGCTGGAGGACTATCTAATCAACAGCCACAGCACATGAATAGGCCGATGAGTGGAAACCATGTCATTCAACAGAATCTTAAAGATAGGGTTATATTACATAACTTTGTGGAGGGAGGTATTCAGGAAATGTTAATGGGTTCCCCCAATCAGCCTTCACAAGCCGTTAATCAGGCACATCAGATCAAAGAACTCATCAATTCACCAAAGAAAATAAAGGACGCTTTTCCAGATCAGAAGCTTGTAGATGGAAATGCCGTGGCAGTAGGATCGACCGGTACTGCAGTGGGCGCTACTTTTCAGGATCCCACGCAACAGGCAAATGACTTACCTTCGTCCTTCACACCAAAGCAACAAAAACCAATGCATGATGCTAACATGATTGATTTTTCAAACCATGCTTGTAAAGGTCAACACAGAGAACATCTCCTGAACAGCAAGATGTACTGGGTGGTAGAGAAAGGAAAGATTATCGCAAAAATGGCTTGCCCCCTTGGCACCCTATTCAGCAATGTGACATGCGCTTGTACCTTCGTGCCCTCGAAACCGAAAGGTAATTTGTTAAGATAAACAGGTAGCCTTTCTAAAATTTTCTTACCTTTATCTTAATTTGCTTTAAACAGAAGACTGCATAACCCATTCATATTAATTAACGTCAATGTAAAAAACTGACGAAGCATGCCACGGTCACAAGTTGTGAAAATTCGATAGCACATAGTTATCGTGTTTCTCCAGATGGCGCAACATTAGCTTGAATTTCCTAAGGACCTTAAAGACATTGTCGAAATGATTAATTACTATTTAACGTCTACTGACATAAAGTTATAATAGCATGTTGCTGATTCGAGCTTTAGAACAATGTTAATATTGCTTTGCTCAAACAGCTTTTTCTTGTTCATTACTTTGTTTCCACTTTTTATATGATGTAGAAACAACGGCGATTACAGTTTTTTTCGGTATCATCTTCAAAGGCTTAAGTTTTCTCATTTCCTTTCTATCTGAAACGTAACCGTTTAAAATCCTCCTCTGCAACTCTCGTGATGTACGGTTTGATTTCAATCTTGTGTATTTCTAAATAATTTTCGATATTTCAACATTATACATGGCAAACAGCACGTCGTTTTATCTGACTTTTTATAACATATTTGTTTCCATTTCTTTCACAGATGCTGGTTGTAAACCTGATCTAATTAATACTTTTGACTATGGTATGGATGATTCGTCCGGCAACTTTTTGGCACACTTTGCAAGTAAAGACCTAAAACCGACACTGAGTAGTGGGGTGTTATGTTTCAATGGATCACAGAAAATGGGATATCCTCGGTATAATGGATATGACTTCAGATATAGTCTTTATATTGTGTTGAGGTTTGTGACTTATGTAAAAGAAAGGGACCAGTTATTCCCATTGTTAACCAATTGTGAGACAAACATGTTGACAGGAGAGTTCAGAGACCCATCCATCGGTATTGTGCTGAACAGGACGAATCACTTAGTTATCTTCATTGAAACAGACACTAAGATGAGTCTAACAGCCTTCGAGATAAATGTAAGTATAACATAGAGAAAATGTACACGTGTACCATAACAGATATCAGACCAACCAATAAATGTTTAGTGAAGTATAAAGAACAAAAAACATTAAAAACAAAACAAAAAAAAAAAAAACAAAAAAACACAAAAAAACACCATATCAACAGATTCTTAATTCAAATTCACATGTCGATGAAACGAAACTAGGGCAAAGTATACAGTTTAACAAGGTGGCATATTAAAAAGTGCAAGGAGAAAAGAACACTCACCATGTTACTCAATTAAAGTAAGTAATGTCAGGTTCTCAAAGAGACCATGGTGAACAACAATGAAACCTTCAGGAAATCTAATAGTGATTATCGTTATAAATGAGCATCTGAAATCGCTCCGACACTTTATTCACATGATGTAATTTGTTTTCTGAAAGATAAAATTTATATTTCAACATGAGGGAAGGAAACTTTCACCATCTCTAATGTCGTTGGTGCTCCTTGTCTGGTACCAAAATGCACTCTGGGAGAGATTGGCCATTTTCTCCGCAAAACCAGTAATATAATTAATCTAAATTGAGAGAAAATTTCAAATCTAACAATTCGGTAAAAATGTCGTTAATATTTCACTGCGAAATATTTTACATAGTTTGTGTTACATACTTTAATCACGACACCTTGTATAGCTATATAATTCTAAATGCCCGTTACCGAGACACATTGTGTTTGATAAAATCAATAACAATATTACCTAGTGACTCTAAATTACCGTCCCGTAGGTATATTTACACGCTCTCTGAGATACTGCTGTCATTTGTGGCCCTGTAGAGATGTCGATCGTACTTGTGTCCCTGTAGAGATGTTGATCTGATTTGTGTCCCTTTAGAGATGTTGGTCTGATTTGTGTCCCTGTAGAGATGTCGATCTAACTTGTGTTCCTGTAGAGATGTTGATCTGATTTGTGTCCCTGTAGAGATGTTGGTCTGATTTGTGTCCCTGTAGAGATGTCGATCTAACTTGTGTCCCTGTAGAGATGTTGATTTGACTTGTGGCCCTGTAGAGATGTCGATCTAACTTGTGTCCCTGTAGAGATGTTGGTCTGATTCGTGTTCCTGTAGAGATGTTGATCTGACTTGTGTCCCTGTAGAGATGTCGATCTAACTTGTGTCCCTGTAGAGATGTTGATCTGATTTGTGTCCCTGTAGAGATGTTGGTCTGATTTGTGTCCCTGTAGAGATGTTGATCTGACTTGTTTCCTGTAGAGATGTTGATCTGATTTGTGTCCCTGTAGAGAAGTTGATCTAATATTGTTTTCTACCCCACCGTTGCTATAGTCTTGACCTGATCATCTAGTTATTTCCTCTCTTATATACATCCCACTGACTAAAGGCTTTTTCCTTTAAACATTGCGACCGTATTTTCTTCTTAAATTACTTTTTTTCACGTATCTTGTTTCCAAAAGAAAAAAAAAGAAAAAAAAAAAGAAAAAAAAAAAGAAACACAATCATTTAAATACAAGCATTATCCAAATTCTAATTCACGACAAAATATGATCAAAAGAATAATATCCTTGGGTATTCCTTGAAAGCAGAAAGAAAATAAAACCAGGTGTTCCGGGAGAGTAAGCGTCTTCTGTTTCACTGTCGACACCCGCCTTGTTAACCTTGATCAATCCAAGTAAGTAATGTCATGATCTTAAATGAGAACAAGGTGTACAACAATGCAATCAACAAGCAAACTAACGAGCATCAATATTTCTCAGATCGCTATGACTACCGTACAACTTCCCCATGATAGTCATCAACAAGCATCTTTTGAAGTCTCGTCAGTTCTGTTATGAGCTTATCCGGCAGTTGAAGAAATCTTGCACGAAAATCGTTTTAGGAAAAGATTAAGATAAGTGGGTAATGTGGAAGAGTCTTTAATGTCCCAAAATTTAAATATTGTTTGATATTTACTATGGACGAAAGTAATGAATCCTTTGTTATTGAAAGACAAGACGTCGACTATATATCTGAAAGTGAAATTTAAGGACTTTACAAGGGCTTTGTGACCTATTTTTGATAAGTTCTTTGATAAATTCAGTCTTGCACGAAACAAAACTGTAAGCCAACAGGGGAACAATGGTTTTTTTATGATTTCGTCCCATGTTTATTTCTTCTTTGCTTTAGACATATTAATTTGAGTACGAAAAATGACTCAGTATAGTTCACATCTATATATTTGTAACGCTGTTCGCTTTTCTTTGGAAAGAAAGCTCTCATAGCAAGAGCACAAAGATAAGTAAGGTATTATTTCAGTTTAGAATGAGGTAAGGTGGTGTTCAGATTGGAAAAATCAAATGTTCTTATAGAAAAAAATGTTGTTTTTTTAAGAGGGTGTTCAAGATTAGTCAAAAGCTCATATGAGTTCTTTACAATCCACATATTATCAAGTATCTTCTCCATTACTTGCGTAAACAATACCACAGTAAGACTATCCCCCAGATTTACATAATATTAAGAATGGAAACTTTGACAAAGGTTCGGTTGAACATCTAGACGAGCTAGCATTAAAACTTTATATTGATACTTTTGAGAATTAGTAATCCAATATAAATATAAATGTTATATTTTTTCTATAAACATTTTTTTTCCAGATTTCTCATACGTGTTGACATATTGACGCGAATTTATCTATGTATGTCGATTCTGCATGATATAAGCCGACAATAAGTTACTGCAGTCAAGTCGTTAACAAATATTGCATTTTGATTGTAATAATTTTGGAGATATTATCGTATTTGTTTTTGTTTGTTTGTGTTTTTTGTCCAGATATCTAGATTCCTTTGATTCCTTTCCGTGCTAAGATTTGATTTGTCCTTCCGATATGGTAGAGACAACTATCGGTCTTGGTTGTTGTTGGTCTGTGTCCTTAACAGTAATGTATCACAGGTATTTTTTTAATTAACAATTGTGTGTGCTGTGCTTGTTGGTGATGTTGTGTATTGAGGCGTATCAAATGGCAACGTAATCATCATTCTCGAAGAACGATACGGATTTCTATTTAGGTCAGCTGACAAAAGTCTCCTGGTGATCTACGGAGTTCTCTTGTTCGGCGTCGTGCGTCGTCCGTGTCAAGTCGTTTCGACTTCGGAAAGTGTCCTTGTTTAATTTTAATGCATGCCACCTTTTCATTCATTCAAATGGTGTTCACGTAGAGAAAATACATGTGTGCTTGACATTCTTTAGCAGTTAGTAGGCATATGATAATTCTGATATTTATTGAACTATCGGGCTGGTAAACCTCCTCATACTGAATCTTACACTTTTACCGGTCAGTTTTGATTTGTCCCAGTCACCTCCCAACACTTATTTATTAAGATGAAACAGCTGATTTAGTAAGACGAAACAGCTGATTTATTAAGACGAAACAGCTGTTTTAGTAAGACGAAACAGCTGATTTATTAAGACGAAACAGCTTATTTATTAAGACGAAACAGCAGATTTAATAAGACGAAACAGCTGTTTAATGCAATTTAATTCATCATTTTAGTCTGCTCCATCGAATTCTACATTTGCACTGAAAAGTGTCATTCACTGGTGTGTTTCTGTACAACCTTTACGAATGCACAAGTTTGCCGTTACGTGCCATATTTTAATTGATTCCGATAGTAACACAGTTAAGACTAAACACATGTACTTGACTTTTATAGTTAACAGACACATGATCATAACGAAATGTATTGAATGATGTTGTTAGTGTACCTTCACATTTAGATTCTAAATACTTTTGGTCAGTTTGGGCCCTAAGCACCACAAGTGAGCCTTAGAGAGACAAGACAGCTGTAAAATGCAGTTTACTTAATTAGTCGGCTCTAATGTATCTTATTCTAAATTCGTTCTGAAAAATACCAGTCACATAAGTGTCTTCTGTGTAATCTTTGGAATCAAAATAATTACCATGGCATATGATACAAGATGACCGATAACATTTATAGACCTCAAATGATCGTTAAGATCCGTCTAGCCTCTAGATCTTTTGTTCGAGTTAATGACGAAGTCCTCTGGAGGTTTTTTCAGTTTTATTGGTAAACTGCAGATTGGAAGGTCAATATGGCGCTGAATTGATCTACAACACGAATCAAATGCTTTGTATACAATTTGGTAATGATATTTTCCTGATACCATCACGTCAACATTCCTTCGTGTTTCGCTGCCTGTTTCTGTTATACTTACGTGATTGATTCCATGAGTGTCACATGCACCACGTCAGTTTCTAATTTCTCTGATGATAATCTAGCCGATACTGTGCTAAGGTAACGAGGCAATTGCGTACAACGCTGTCATTATGTAATTATCATGTCTAGAAGGCGACATTACGACAGCATTTAAAAATATATTGCATTTCTTTAGTCTAAGATACAATCCTCCTGATGGCAAGTATCGTGAAATCTATAGTGATAGCAACTCTCATTAAAAAAAACCAAACAAACAAACAGTGGTAACGCACTCACCTTTCGCTCCGGACGGAAAGGATCACCAGATCAATTATATTGGTTTTTTTTTTCGGATACTCCGGTTTCATCCCACAGTAGGACTCTATGTGTGCTTACATCCGAGACAAATTGAAAACTGAAATATAATTAACTAGATATTGGAGTTTTTATTTCTGTTCTCAAATTAGCTACGAATACTCACCTACATTCTTAGTTAAAACATCTGCTTGTAATTATGACTCAACAATGTGTCGTTATCAAATTTGGTCTTTCCCTGTTACTTAAAAACGCTGCCTTTTCCCTCATTTTCAGCCCCACGAGTGGAACACTGTCACGCTGCAATATGACGGACGTTACTTCATAGCATCTGTTAATGGAAAGTCGGAACCTGTCGAAACTACTGGTAGAGTATGCCTTAAACACATGATATTGCTTGACATCTTTTTTATAACAAATATATAACTTAGATATAAATCGCCTATGTAATAGGTTACATTGAATATCAATGTTGCTGCAACGATAAGAATAAGCATGTCGGAAAATTAAGAAATTAAAAAAGTGAAT